TGAAATCATTTTCAAATATGACTTGGAATTCTTTATTTTGAAAGAGGCTCAGTATGATCTTTATGAAACCTTTTGGGGCTTTAATTCTTTCCAGTGCTTTTATCAGTATGTTTAGACTAATTGTATCATATGCTTTTGCAGTATCTTGAAAAAGTATCCACAGTTCTTTTTTGTTCTCTCTAGCATTTTTACAAATATTGTTGAGAATTTGAATAGGTTCTACTGTACTTTCTCCTGGCAGTCCTGTATAGTTTGATTCTCTGAGAATATTATTGTTTTTGCAAATATTTTCCATTCTGTTGGTGAGAATTTCAATATCTTTATCTTTACTTTATTATACTCATAAAGATGAAATTTTACAAATATTCATAATACATAATAAATGTAAGAGCAGATACAAATAATGTAAATCTAGTTATCAAACCGTTATTGTACTCTAACCTGTGTTATAGATTTTAAACACTTTAGTGTGGTCCATGAATTCTTTCTCTCACCAAGGTTTTCTGACAGAAGGATTATCAAAATTCCCGATGTTACTTAACATCCTGCCGATATAATGTTTACTCTATTACCAACTTAAACGTAGGAATAATGGGGTCAGAGTCTTATCTTCCAACCATCCCTAAAGTTTTATTGATAAAGTTGACTTTTTCGCATTGTATATCTATTAACAAGGATTTGTATTTGTGTTAGAAATCAAGATTATTGATTGTTTCATCAAACACATCTTTGAATAGCCCTTCAAGTGCGAAGTAGGTAGGCTTTAAATAAGTCTTGAAACCTCAAATGGTTAGTCCAAAACCACCAGTAGTGAGAGTGTAATTGTGAATATCAATCTCCCTTTCCTTAAATAAATGAATCCGATATTTACTAAGTTCATCACTCATTTGCTTTACTAATTCAAGCACTGTCCATTTGTCGAGCTCATCGCAATTGGTCTTGAAAATTTTTCTGAAAGACTTTCAGGCCAGTGCTCTAGCAATACTAACCTTGGTTTCTTGATGGGCTGCCTTATGTTTTTTTTTTTCACTTGGCATGTTTGTCAACTTCTATAGTATCTGGTTTGTGATATCTATTAAAATGTTTCTTTTGTGAAATATGATTAGTAAAGTTTTCACTACATTCAGAACATTTGCATGCTTTGGGGCGGAGATTGTTTAGGTAAAGGTTGTTTATCCTTTATTTATCCTATTTCTTGTCTCCTTGGCATCTTCCTTTTTTTTGGACAATATTTTCTCTTCTTTTTAGAGGAGCCTGGGTCAAATGGAGAAGAGAAGACTTGTCATTTAGAATTACTGAAACAGACAGAAGAAGCCCTACCTATCCATTTGGCAAAGAGCTCCTTTACTTGGTCCAGCTATTCTATAGGTCCAGAGTACTTGAACATAGCACCGTAGAAAAAGCTTATCTCTACAGAGAAGTTTATCATATTGTGTTTGATCTTTAAAACTATTATCTCTTATTGGTTACTTTTTTCCTTTGGAAAATTTCCTTATAAGGAAATTTTTAAGAAAAAAGGGAATTACGGGAAAGAGTTTTTTTTTTTAGATCTTAAATCTTTTTATATAATCTTTATTAATATAAATCAATATTTATTTTTATAATATTATATATACTAATAGTTAAATAGAATTTTGTGTAATTTTATTGTCAAAATCTTATGCAGTGATCCACAGTAGTGACCTGCAGGTGATGATATTAGAAGTTGGAAGGGTTTCTATCTGAACTACTAATGAAGCAATAAATCACTTCTGAAGTTATACTTAAAGTCCTAGATAAATATAAGATTTTGACAAGTGTAATAGTTAGAGATTTAACTTTAGTAACACATATATAATGTATAGCTTATAATTGTTTAATAAAATACATATACTGTAACTATCCTGACAAAAGGTTATAAAAAAAAAAAAAAGAATTTTGTGTAATTTTATATTTTTTAAATAGTGTAATTCTTTAATTAATTAACTATTATATATGACTAATCTGATAAAGAGTTTAGTAATAAATTAATTATTATTTGATATTTTTTTAATAGTCTCAATTATACTATATATGTGATAAAATTAAATTTTAAAAACTTCAAAAGATGTTTTTAATAGTAAGCAGTAAGTTTTTTTATTTTTAAAAAAAACAATTATAAATAGAAGTTCAATAAAGTAAATCTAATTTATTGTTAAGCTAGATATAGTAGTTTAAAAATTAAATTATTAGAAGTTAAATCACAAATTATTTCGTGACACCATGTTCATCACATTGATAACTAATCAGGAATAATTCTGGCCAAAAAAATATAATTTGATAACACATCTTGTCTGCAACTATAATGAGCAGTATGACGTCCATATGATTCATTGTCAGAGCAAATCATTAAAACGCGTACAAAAAATGTCTATCCACTCTCATAGTTTTTCGGCGACTTGCATTTATCTCTATATTAGCGACGCGTACAGACACCGTTCCAAGCCTGAAAGTAATTAGCCTACCATTAAGACGCCGAATCGTGTAGTTCAATTTTACCAATTTTTTAGACAGACTTCCTACTCTGACAGTCCAATCATCTGGTAGTACTTGGCCGACCTTTTTTTAACTGTCATTTCTTTGCAACCCATTTCTTTGCTAAAGGGGAAAATTGCTTCCTAATATGCAGGTATAATAAAATTTCCTAATGTCAAATTCCGAGTCAGCGTCAGATTTGGAGGTTGGTTTTCTTATTTTCAAGATCAAAGAAATTTTGTTGAATCATATTTTAAAAGTTTCTTCGATTATTAGAACGAAACTCGTATCTCCGAAAATGAAACATCACATGCTTTACTTGAAGAGCCTAATACTGCACATGGAAGAACCTCTGAAACACGGACTGAGTCTTCAAGTACTTATTCATGAAAAAATATAAAAGGTTGATAACTAGAATAACGATTTATTAATGATTTTTTAATTTAATTATTTTTGGAAGAGTCTTCTCCAGAAAACGGTAGCGAAAGAATATCTGAAGCCGAAACAGAGTCGTCGACAAGTATCTAGCTTTCACAGATGATTCCTTGACTAATATATCGTATCATTAGGAAATTATTCATGAAATTTCAAATATAGAAACAAGCTTATCGTCAAATCTGAGGAGATCAACAAGGAACAGGAAACCTCCGAAGTACTTCTCACAAGGAGAAGGTAAATTAAATTTGAAATAAAATAAAAATGTGATAATTGGTTAACTAATTACTTTCGATTTATTAGCGTCTATAACGACACGCAAGTCTCGACGAGTAGACCACGGTAGAAAAGAAGTAAGAGATATTACTGACGATAATCTATCCGAAACGGATATTGTGTCAGAACCAGCATTCGAAATACGCAAAAAGCGAGGAAGACCAAAGAAATCCTTAGCTACGCATAAGAAAACTAACAAAATTGCAAAAAGTTATAAAAGTAGAACAACCAAGCGGGATTTGCATAGTATTCCAACAAGGGAATCTATGGATAATTTAACAAGCAATATGCAAGATGAAGAAGCAGAAGATTCTTCAGGATCACGAACCCAAAGTAAACGAGGCTTAAAAGTGGGCGAATCAAACGGGTCTTTAGAAGAGAGTGGTCAAATCATTTATGGTGCAGAAATTAAATTTCGCATTCGACGAGAGATCATTAAAATTCATTTGCACTTATTCAATATTCAATTTATTTAGATGCAATTTTTGGGACCAGTTCCTCCTTGGAAAGTGCTGCATTTGACTGGGCGAAAGCTTACAAAAAAGAAAGAGATAATCACAGTGGCTCTTTGCTCATTTTAATAAATTTTATAATTCGGGTTCGTTCATAAATAAGCTTTACGACGAAGAGATCTTTTTTTTTTAAAAAAAAATACAAGAAAATTGAATACATTTCCTAAATTATAGTCGTGTGGATGTTCAGAAATTATAGACAAGAAGACCTTTGAAGAGACGGACGATATACCGAGTGCTCTCAAAGAATTACAGGATATCTTTAAAAAGGTTGAATAAATTAACACTTGTGATTTACGCACAAAGTCACTTATGTTGTTCGATTTACACCTATTAATACCTATTATGGATCAACAGGAACTCTTGGCAGACTATCCTTTAATTTCAAAGGCCCGTGAATATAAAAAATTCCGCAAAAATTTTTTGGGTTTCTTTCATCGCCTCATATTGCATTTGAAATATGACATAATATACGATGATTTCTTCTTTGATACCTTGCAAGCCTGGGTGGTCCCTATGTCAAGGTAAGAGAAAATATTGAAAAGCAATATTCTTATTTAAAATTTTTCATAATACAGAATTATCGCTTATGTCACAACATTAGCTCCTCTTCTCGTCCTTTTCGACATACGGCAACTGCGGTAGCTCTTCATTTATTCAGCTGCGTCTGTGAAGTCGCACATGAAGTCTGCAATGAACTATCTATCGCTTCGCGTCAATTAGAACTGGAAAATAAAAAAACGCCACGCACCACGAAAAATTTGGAAAGAATTAAAGGGCTTCAATTGAAAACATCTGACTTGAATCAGAAAAAAAATAAGCTTTATTCGTATTTTAATGATCTTTTCGATAGGTAAATATACTAGAATGTTATACTTTCGTTCTTATTCCACCTCACATGTTACCAAAAAATTTACTTGCGCATTAGTGTATTCGTTCATCGCTACCGAGATGTTGAACCAATTATTAGGGCAGAGTGCATTCAGGAATTAGGTTTGTGGACCATAAAACACCCTGATCGGTTCCTGGATAATACAATTATAAGATATGTCGGTTGGCAATTGTCCGATAAGGTGAAATATTTCTGGATATTATTTCGCGATTATTAAGTCAGAAATAGAATCTGAATGTCAAATAAAAAAATTTTTTTTTTTTTTTTTTCAATGTTAGTCAGCCATTGTGAGGTTGGAATCATTGAAAGTTCTCGAAAGACTCTATGCAGAAGAAACCTTTGTAAGCGGTTTGCGTAATTTTACCGAAAGGTTTAAACCAAGATTGTTGGAAATGGCAATTCGAGAGTCAGATGTCAATGTTCGCATATCAAGTATCAATATACTTACTCTCATTCATCAAATTGGGTTGTTGGACGATGAGGAGCGTGACCAGCTGTCTCTTCTTATTTATTGTGACATACCTAAAGTACGGAGGGCCATCGCACCCTTCGTTAAAATATCTCTCGAGGATTTTATAAAAGAGAAACGCACAAAGGTTCAAACATTGTTGGTCAGCAGTGGTACCAAGAGAAAGCGAAACGTCGATAGCGGATCTAGCGAGGAGTCTAATGCTACAAAACAGAGTTGGGTTTCGTTTAAGTGCTTGGCCGAGTTTTTTGTGAATTGTAATAAAGTTTTAGAGGACACACAAAAAGCGAATGAGCAAGCAGAAGATGAAATTGGCGAAGCAGAATCTGATGATGGAGCCCTGATTCGTAGTATAGGTAATGTGGAAAGTAGTAGGATAGGGTTGTCCGTCCAGGATCTTTGGGGATACTTGGATGCGTTGAAGGAATGGCAAAAATTAGCAGATTATCTTTCCAAAGATCATTCTTCAACGAGTCAGAATGCAGAATCCCCGAACAACGGAAATTCTAGTAACGCCATCGAAGAATTTTATCGACTTGGCGAAAAAGAGGAGTCTGCTTTAGTGGAGGTTTTTGTTAAGTGTTTGCAATTAAGCCTATCTGAGAATCTTACACCAAAAGACAAAAAAAAGGTTGGAATCTATTTATCGTTTGCTTGATTCACCAAAAAATACCTTCTCAAGAATACCCTTGATGTTAATTAGGCTGATGGACAGATAGACGAGACCCGTGCCGAAATCTCGAGAACAATGATTACCGTATTACCACGACTCTTGACGAAATATGCACCTGATGCCGGACGAATCGCCGAGGTGTTGCAAATTCCTCAAATGATGGATTTATCGGTGTATTCTGATCTTCGTATGCAGAAGGTAAGGATCAGGTGTATAGCTGATTGTGATGCTGGCTAACGCTTGGCAGGCATAACGATTCTGACCTTCTTTCTCTCAGGCTTACGAATTGTTAGTCGAAGATGTCAAGAAACTTTTTCTTAAACACACACATTCCGTCGTCCTCGTCAATGCCTCTGCGACTTTTCAATATATGAGACAATTTAAAAATTTCGCTTCCACGGTAGAAACTTCTCTCGGAGAGCTCCAGGATGAAGTGACAAAGAATTTTCTCGATGAATGCGAGAACAATGTAGGATGTTGATAACTCGATAATTTTGAGGAAATGCGTGATATGATTCTTACTATTTTTCAATATTATATTGATAAAGGACTTATCGGTGGAAGATTTAACCAGCGATCAGGTGCATTCACTCAGTGTTGCCTTGGGTCGTTTGGAGCATGTGATCACTGTTATCAACGTTATGGATACTTCCGAGGAAAACGACGACGTTTATGAATGTATTATCAAGCTGGTCGGAAGAGGTTTGTTGGGTAATTACGAAGAAGAGAAGGTTATTATTCTTTCTAATATGGCTAGTTAGATGTTAGAATGATTAGGTATAAATTGATTTTCTCTTTTATTGTACAGATGGTAACTTCGGCAATAAATTTTCTCTGGTATTACCTACTGTGGAAAGTAGAATATCTCTCCTCAAAAGAACATGATAAGAATGTGACCCCGGACACCTTGGACAATTTCATCGTAAAAAGGGATCAGATAATAAAAATACTATTTGATGTCGGTGTTTCAGTATCATCAGGAGCGCAACACACCGTTAGACTAGCGGTATGGTTCAATCACTTTTTTTTTTTTTTTTAAAAAAAAAAATCTTTTATAGTCTTTATCTATTTCCATCTAACATGAAAGTATTGTTTGACACAGGCATTTCGCGCATTGGGAAACATCTATTGGCTTTTTTCGAGTGACCTGTTTCATAATTCCGGCACATCCGATTTATCAAAGCTAAGATTTACATGTCAGCCTGACATTCAAGAGAAGATCGAGAAATTTGTCGCCGAGGAAATTGAGAGTTATAGAAATGTTTATTATGAAGCTGAGACGAGACTTCTCGAAGAGAGAAAGAAAGAGAAAATTACCGAAAGTGAACAGGAAATAGAAAAACCCATTAAAAAACGTAATCGCTTATAATTTCAAACCTCTTTCTGTGCACGACAAACGCTTAATACATCATGTTTATTTCATTAGTGGCAACAAAAAACATTGACATGGTTATAGAACCTGAAGAAAAATTTCAGATCATGGAGATTATTGGCACTCTCTTGCGTGGTGTCCGTGGCGGCTGGTTTCATGCATCCCATGCTGCTAGCGTGATTTGCCAATTTGGAACTTTGGGAGGCGATCTTGATGATGTTATCAAGAAGTTGATGCATGAATTCAGGGAAAGGATGTCATCCGAAGAAGCTAAACTGCATGCAAACGTTTTCATCTCCTCGTTGAAAAAGGTATCGTAAGACTTCCTTCCAACCTTTTCGCTCATTGCTGGTCGAAGATCATGTTTTAATCTTTCATTTCCTGCAGTCTCATATGCTCTATGTGAGTGGGCGCGTCGGGTCTATGAATGGAACTTCATGGCTCGCTCGACTATGTTCGCACGCTCTACAGTCAAGAGATACTCATGATGTATCATCATCGAAGGATGCCGACCACATCATAGAATTACAGAGAGAAGGGATTGCATATGTCTTTTCATCGGTTTCCGAATATCAACGCACTGATAATAATGATGCTATTCCGAAGATGATCAAATTTTTCAAGATATTAGGCATGTTACTGGTGGAAGTTGGTCCTGGCGATGCTTGTGAGATGTAAGTTCATATTAGCATTTGATTCATTTGCGTGTTTTTTTTTTTCCAATAGTAATTAATTATGTTCGCATCAATAAACAACATAAACTAATACAATTATTAATATGCAGAGAGTCAATCCTTAAAGAGGAACTGGAGTCACAAAAAGTAGATGTGAATGAAACGGAAAAGCAATGGGAACCCTATTATTCGTACTTCCTCAAGGTCAATAGCATCGCGAAAAAAGGTACCACTAAGAAAGGTAAGAGCTAGTGCCGAATATTTGTTTTGGTATCGCTCTTCTCTCCTCTCACTCGTCAACAAATTCTGATTATTAGGTAATGCCAAATCGTCACTTAGAAAGAAACGTCCGTCGGATCCGAAACGTAAATCAAGAGATCATCATGTTGACTCGAATTCCGAGAATCAAGAGAATAACGAAGAAATTATCGCACCATCTTCGAACAAGCTGAGGAATGGCAACATTGCGCCTTCATCGTTCGGTGATGAGGACGCCAACAATTCGTTGGATAATAGCGAAATGCCTTTATCGATCAAACGATCTGCACCGGTTGATGATGACATAGAAATCACAGAATCCCCCCCGAAAAAGAGGAGACCAACTACGGAAAGAAAGACGAGCAACGAAGAACCAAATGAAGAGGTATTCGGTAATGGCAATTCAGATAGGGAAAGTGTTGAAAGTTTTCAGAGTGTCTCCGACAGAAGAAACAAGAAGAGGGTACGACGTTGAACTTTGTTGTTCGGATGAAACATCATGAAAAATTTTTATTTCTTATCTGTAAATAATAGTTTAATTGCAGTAATGAGCGTTATAATTAGCACTATTACGTTTTATGGTTTCGCGAACTAAGCGCGACCACGAATCATTTAAAATGGTTTTCACATTAATTCTAAAGAATCTTATGGACATTGCCAGAGGCGCGACCATGAAATACTGTTGCGACCAATACAATAACTGATATACATATAAATATTATTCACGCGACTTCCACCATTCATTCCATGTTTTTCGTAGTCGATCTTTAACGGTATCTTCGAAAATACAGTCGATGCACTGATAAGAAAGATCAAATAATTTCCTTGGTGAAAGTGAAAATGTTGAAGCAGCAATTGAGTATTCGGTCGAAAGGTCGGAGAAGAATACTCCTTTTTTTAAAGTGAAAAAAATTTAGTTGAGTGCACGTGATGATAATTGCAAACTGAGAGATTTTTGTTCACCTTTATCATCGGTCTATTGTGCACATGCGTAATTTAATTTGAATTAGAAAACACACTCAAAATGACGGGGGAGTCACAGCAGAAACACTTACGCCAAGGCAACAAGGGTGCTCCATAGACAAGAAACTCTTGATGTGATGTTCATTGTAATCCTTTACGGTATTACACGTGACGTTCGAAGTCATGCAAATTTCAATTGGAAGTTTATTCGATAAGATGTAATCTCTTGAATATGGGTCGAGGTAGGTTGCATGCCCGACCCTGTCCGGAGGAATTGTGAGCATTGACGCGTGTTCTAACATATTCGACTCGATCTAAGCAACATTTCACGTGAGTCAGGTCACTTAACATTTTGTGATGCTAGAATAAGATTAAGATTGCAATAGCGGACCTCTCCAAAATGCAATGTTACTTTTAACCCATGACTTTTTGCCTTTACGAAAGCAGGTTTCACATTGTCGATGTGTCCTCTCTTGTTTAACAAAACAATAAAAATTTACTTTCTCTTCTATTCGCTATCAAATTCCGTGAGAAACCCTGAATTTTCACCTACACTAGGATCGCTGCAAAGGTCGACACCAACTACCCCCGCCTTCTTGTACTTTATCGCGAGGTCAGCAGTTTCCATTGCTTCCTCCAACGAATCCTTACGGCTAATGCTAAGGATTAGTCTCACTATAATGTCGCACTCGGAAGACGGAAATTTTTGGATGGTCGAAATGATTGCCCTCACGTACGATTCGCCAGTCATTCCTTTTAAATTAATGAAAGAATTAACGTGTGTTTGGGCTCACGTGATCACGTCAGTTTTACCTTTGCTTTCATTCTTTCTCGGAGTGCTTCTTAATTCCAAGTATTTAACTCCGTCCTTATGAAAGTCGCGAATCACGGCTTCCGTGATATACGCGACGGTCTCCTCATCGTCAGTCAGTTGATAGATGAAGTCGAATATTAAAAAGAATCTAAAAAGTAATGAATAAGTTTTACGCTCGGTGATAGAATAAACACACCTGCGACCACGATGCCATAATCATTACTCGTTAATTGTATCCAATCTTTTCTTGGGAATTTTAAAATTCGTCAAGTGGGGCTTCTCCTCCTTCTTAATATCTACTAGATATTGCAACGTTTCCGGGCTTAAGGAGCCATTTAAGTGTGCATGCAGTTCCTGGATAATATTTTAAAGCTCATTTCAAATTAACAAATTTACTTAACACATGTAAACGTAATTACGAAATTACTATTTTTGGTAATTCTCTAGCAAACTTTTCGAGTTCTTTCAGACTCCCGTATTGAGACAATATAAAGGGTGTCTCATCGGCCATTTATCATTTATCTCGAAGCATAGGAAAGGATACACCGTTTTAATCGAAAAAGATGTTTTTTATATTATCAATTTACACGTGATAGAATTGACCAACTTAATTTGGTTAAAGTGTTCCTATATAAAGGTATAAGTTGAATCCTTTACTGAGCTTTCCATATGTATGTATACACAACTTATCTTGAATCATTTCTCAACTTTTTAATAAAGAAAAAATGGCATTCCGAAGTATGGTCACCGGAGCAGAATGCTCCACGGGATCAAACCCATTATCTCAAATTATGAAGCAAGTCAACGATGATCGTTCGCTTTTGAAGGTATGAAAAAGAAAGAAATTTTCACGGTTCTTCAAGATTTCAACTGAACACCTGTCCTTTTTTTTATATTCTAAAAAAAAACGAAAAAACCGTCCAGGATACATTTCTCAGTAGCACAAGCAAAGCGGCAAACTTTGGTTCGGTTAGTGTTAACCTATTATGTTTAATACTGCTACATATTATTCCTTTTCCAATTCATGACAAAAAATTTTTGAAACAAAAAGTTCCGTACAGGAATAAGGCCTGATATAGATATACAAGATGATAAGGTAACTGCACGCGGAAATTGTCGAATGGATGAGAAGACCATCTCTTTCTTAATTAACGAGTCTGGATTCACTTATAGTTTGCCCAACAGTTCTTCGATCAAAGAAATTACTCTCATTTACCAGATGTAATGCCACTCGTTCACGATATTCCAGACCCCAGGTTACAAGGTATAACGTTTGTGCGATGATTATAGATGCATGCAGTTCATAGGTCCTATCTTATAACTCGTTCGATCTCGTAGATTGGAGTTCGGAATTCAGAAACTTTCACCATGATCCATACTCGTCAACTTTGGAAGCGGCGGAAGCAGCGGAAATGGAGTTGGCTTTTAAAAGGATGGCTATTCAAGGTAGAGTTCATGCGCAGCAATGCTTTAATATAGGTATTAGTGTTCATATCCACTTTACATTTATCAAGGTAATTGGAATACAGAATTCCTGTATAACCCAGACGTATCTACGACACCTTTTGCGGAAATACCTCCAGAGTTTGAAGTGGCGTTTGAAAAAAATTTTAATTTGATTGATGATAAAGGAAAGGGAAAAGAAAAAGTTGTTGATGCTGACTCCCTCAGTTGGGAAGAACAATTTATGATCGCGCAACGAGAGGCAGAGAATGCGCAAGAAACTGATGACGGATTACGTGAGAGTTTCGAGAAAATTTGGTCACAATTTCGATTACGAGATTACACAGATGAATCAAACATCGAGTCTCTGGAAGAGATTTTAAATAATACTTTTAGTGAAGGTCAATCTTCATATTTGGGGGAGTATGAATTTGAATCAAATAATATCTATCTTGAATATCCCAACCCTCTGCAGGAAGGTTTAGAAATAATGGAAAGAGGTGGATCTTTGTCCGAAGCGGCCTTAGCATTTGAGTCTGCTGTTCAGAAGGATGATAATGATTCTAATGCATGGATGTTGTTGGGGAGTACGCAGGCCCAAAATGAAAAAGAGGAGTCCGCAATCAAGGCCCTGCAGAAATCCGTCGAACTAGATGGTACCAATTTATCCGCTCTTATGGTATGAAGTTATATTCGAAGCCATGATACTCTTTCAGCAAAACAAACAATTAACGTGTGAAAAATTATATTACCCAGAATCTTGCTGTCAGCTACATTAACGAAAGGTTTGATCTCGAGGCGTACCTCACTCTTGAAAGGTGGCTTACTGTAAAATATCCAGATGTGGTAGCCCAGGCGGCACCCATGGACAGAACTATAGACACGCATACTCGAGTCACTGATCTTTTTCTAAAAGCTGCCCGTTGCGCGCCGGAAGGTCAGGAAATGGATCCCGACGTTCAAGTTGGGCTGGGTGTCCTCTTTTATGGTAGTGGAGAGTCTGATAAGGCCATCGATTGCTTCGTGTCGGCGCTAAAAATTCGAAAAGATGTAAATAAGTAACGATAAATTTTCTCTGGCGGAAATCTCCACGCAAATTATTTAACCATAATTTTATATGTCGATAGGATTACCAGTTGTGGAATCGCTTAGGTGCCACTCTAGCTAATTCTGGTCGTTCAGAAGATGCCATCGAGGCTTATTATAAAGCTTTAGAGTTAAAGCCCACATTTGTTCGTGCACGTTTCAATCTGGGAGTTAGTTGTTTGAATATTAAATGTTATCAAGAGGCGGCCGAACATCTACTTGGTGCTCTAAGTATGCATCAAATGGGTCCGGGTAATGATGGAATAAAGAATGCTAGTAATAGCCTTCGAGAAACTTTAGAGAAAACATTTCAATCGATGGTTCGTATTTTATATACTTAATTTATCGCCATTACAATTTCAGAGATTACAAGTCTAACCACGTGATTGATTTAAATGTATAGAATCGAAGTGATTTATGTGAAAAGCTTAATAACGGTCTAGGTATTGACCAATTTCGAGACGAATTCGAATTTTAGACATAATAACTAGCAAATTAATTACAAAAAAATAAACAAATAACACTGTAATAATAATTTCAGCATGTCAATAAAAAATTAGTTGATTTTTTATTGTTCTTCAACTGGTACATAAAATTACTTTAAAGACAAATTTATTACAACACGTTAAGATGAGGTTTGTTATAAATTAATAACAAAACAATGACAGGATGCTAAAATTGTTTTAAACGATAATTCTTTGTGGAATTAATGCAGCACGACGAATGCATTGGTGTTCTTGTGAGCTACGATTTGATAACATGTGGCACTACCTTGGCGAGAGACTATGGTCGATTAGGCCATTTCCCAAATACCATAAAGAAATAGCGACTTAGTTTATAATAAGATTTAATAAAAATTATGAATATTAAATCACGTACTGGAACCATCTTGACGAGGCAGAATCCGAAAGCAACATGTACAATATGTATGTATCAAACGTTACACGAGTGAGTTTGTTCACATACCTTTTTCTATAATATTGCTCTTATTCTTTAACTAATACCAGCGAAAATGAATTCAGAATCACAATCATACACCGATGCTCTGGAAGAGATTTTTGATAATAATTTTGTCGAAAATCGATCTTCAGATTTAGGGGAGTATGAATTTGAATCAAACAATATTTATCTTGAACATCATAACCCTCTGCAGGAAGGTTTAGACATAATAGAAAAAGGTGGATCGTTATCCGAAGCGGCCTTAGCATTTGAGGCCGCTGTTCAGAAGAATAATAGTAATTCTGATGCATGGATGTTGTTGGGGAGTACACAGGCCCAAAATGAAAAAGAAGAGGCCGCAATCAGGGCCCTGCGGAAATCCGTCGATCTAGATGGCACCAATCTACCCGCTCTTATGGTATGAGTTATATTCGAAGCCGTAATATACTTTTAGCCAGATAAACGATTAACTTGTGAAAAATTATATTACCCAGAATCTTACTGTCAGTTATATTAACGAAGGGTTAAATCTCGAGGCGTATCTCACTCTTGAAAGGTGGCTTACTGCAAAATATCCAGATGTGGTAGCCCAGACGGAACCCATGGATGAACCTACAGACACACGTACTCGAGTCATTAATCTTTTTCAAACAGCTGCCCGTAGCGCGCCGGAAGGTCAGGAGATGGATCCCGACGTTCAAATTGGGCTGGGTATTCTCTTTTATAGTAGTGGAGCGTCTGATAAGGCCGTCGATCACTTTAAGTCAGCGTTAAACATTCGAAAAGATGTAATAAGTAATGATACGTTTTCTCTGGCGGAAATCTCCACGCAAATTATTTAACCATAATTTTATGTCGATAGGATTACCAGTTGTGGAATCGCTTAGGTGCCACTCTAGCTAATTCTGGTCGTTCAGAAGATGCCATCGAGGCTTATTATAAAGCTTTAGAGTTAAAGCCAACATTTGTTCGTGCACGTTTCAATCTGGGAGTTAGTTGTTTGAATCTTAAACGTTACCAAGAGTCGGTCAAACATCTACTTAGTGCCCTAAATATGCATCAAACGAGTCCGGGCAATGATGGATTAAAGAATACTAGTGCTAGCCTTCGACATGCTTTAGAGAGAGTATTTCAATCGATGGTTCGTATTTTTGTATACTCAATTTACCACCGTCACTATTTCAGAGATTACAAGTCTAACCGTGAGATTAATTACATAAAATAGGATCGAAATGATTTAAGTGAAAAGCTTAATAACGGTTTAGGTATTGACCAATTTCGAGACGAATTCGAATTTTAGACAAAAAAATGATATACAGTAGCAAAAAGAAAAAAAATTTTTTTTTCAAAATGTCAATATTGTTCTTGGTCGGATAAATTGTTTAACCAGTAACATAAAAATTTATTGCTTTAAAGACAAATTTACAACACGAATGTGCTATGAAGGATGAGGTTTGCCATAAATTAATAATATAGTAGTGATAATAAGATATTAGAACTGTTTTAAGCGACAAATCTTTGTGGAATTAATGCAGCACGATCGTATGCATTGGTGTTCTTGTGAGCTACGATTTGATAACATGTGGCACTACCTTGGCGAGAGATTATAGTCGACCAGGCTAAGAAGATTTCCCAAATACTATAAAGCAATAGCGACTTAGTTTATAACAAGATTTTAATAAAATTATTAGATAGTAAATCACTTACCGGAACCATCTATGACGAGGCAGGATCATCGAAAGAAAAAGTCAGCACATTAGAGAGGGACAAAATATAATATGTATTTATCAAACGTTACGCGAGTTTGTTCACGTACCTTTTTCCATATTTTTCTATAATATTGCTCTTATTCTTTAACCAATTCTGATACCAACGATAAATGGTGCCAGAATAGTGTACACCAATGGTATCAACCTTGTATACTTCAAATCCTGCAACTTCTAATTGATTGACGACCCACGACAATGGGCAAGAGGCATCAGCGCCAGGGAAGATGTACTTGGCCATAAACAGTCCCCATATTAAGTCTTCGAATTGCCATGTGCTACGAGAAGAAAATAAAATAAATTCTTTGATAGCATTCATTGCTCGATGTTTTTTTTCCAAGGAGATAACACTCACCGACGAAGGCCGGCAATCTGCAAGAAGAACAAACCATCATCCTCCAACATATCATACACTTGATTCATGAAAGATGGAAAGAGTCTAACGCCAACGTGTTCAGCCATTTCGAGACATGTAATCTTATTATATTTCGGATTACGAGGAATGTCACGATAATCCATGCAGATTATACGCGCCTGGCCATCAACACCATACTCTTTGATCCGATTATTACCGAATTCTGTTTGATTCTTCCCGAGTGTTATCCCCGTAGAATCTACACCATAATTTTTGGCGGCGTGAGCTACGAGAGTGCCCCATCCACATCCAATATCAAGATGCCTTTCACCAGCCTTAAACTTCATTATCTCACAAACGAATTTAAGTTTGTTTTCTTGAATCTCTTCTAGGGTTTCACACTTTTCAGGGTCTGAAATGATACCCGAAGTGTAGACCATCAACGGTCCCAGGAATGCTGCATAAAAATCATCACCACGGTCATAATGATCTCGCACTTGACCTTCATCTTGTTTCCTGGAGTGCCAAAGAGTTTCGGGAATCCACTGGGTCAAGAAAAATTTGGCTTGACCAAGGCAAAATTCAAAGGATGCCCAATCATGACGAGCTTCAAGAATTTCAAGTGCATCACCGGAAAGATCAATTTTCCCATCGAAATAGTTTTCAAAAAAGATTTCCATTGGAATCTTTTTACGGTCAACATATTCCCTCAAAGACTCATCTTTCACCGTGAAGTATTCCTCAATTTTCTTTCCCGGAAGTTTCACTTTGTTGCCATAAGGGGAAGAAAATTTGGAGGAAACAAATATGTATCCAAAAAAGATAGCCAACCCAGCTGGGAGGGAAATGATAAGATAAATCAAAAAACCTAACCGAAAGTAAAGCGCAAAAAGGATTGGGCCTCCAATAACAGATGCGACTAGCAAATTAAAGCCAAAAGTTCTGTTTCCTGCACCCTCGGCAGGATACGGCGCATTTTTTATGGCTTTCCAGGTTGTAACTCTCACTCCATGAACACTCGTCATCTATGACGAGACGAGACGGTAAAGAATTAACTTGAATCTCGCTCGTCTGTTTTTCTAAGTTTACTTAAATTTGCAATATCAATTTTTAACGAATATCAATTTACCTTTAATTATAACTACGTGTATCGTTATAAAAAAAATTTTCAACCTACGACGAAAAATTCGCAAGCTTAAAGCACTTGATTTTTTTCTGCTTCAGCCTTCCTGTACCTCCCCATCGCCCAATCATTGATGAACAGACGATAAAATTTTCTTGATTATCGCGTTTTTAATATGACGTAAAGTAGATCTCTAGGAAAACAAACAAGTATGCCAGATTTTTATGATCTATAATTGGTCGTAATCCTGATATTATTTTTGGTGGCTTACACATAACTATAACTATGGCTTATATAAAAGGAAGCGAAAATCCTATATTGTTTTTTTTATAAAAGTTAATCGATAATCTGTATGTAAATTAAACGATTTACATAAGGATCATCTGATCTTCTTGAAAAAAGGGTTCGTGATTAATAATTAGGTATATACTTTATTTAGTTATTATCATAACCCGCTATCAGGTCAGTTACTAAAGCTAATTCTTCAATTGATTTAAGTACAAATTTAGAAAACTATATGTATTTTAATTAAATAAATATTTTTTAACCCACAATCATATCATCATGGTGTGTCTTTATTGAGATATTAAAAATATTGTATCTACAACATTATATAGACTATTCATATGATGATTAACTTGTTTTTACATATTATTAGTTAAAAAATTATATTACTTAAAAAATATAAAAAGTTCATTAAGCTAATTTAAACTAAATAAAACAAAGTTCAAATTAGATGTTCTAAGTTAGATTTAGGAAACAATATTACACTTTCTTAATAGATTAGTTATAATCTTTATTTAACAGAATTATCATTTACAATTTATTATTATAGATTATTTCAAAAAACAATGAATTGTTAAATTATATACTGAAAAAAAGAAAAAAGAAATAATTCAAAGTTCTCCAAAGGATTCTTATTCAAGTAAACAACTTTTTCTTAAAAGAGATCTGTCTGATTAGAATATTATCTGAACTTTGAATCATTTGAAAAACTTAATTATTTCTAAATATTGAAACTTTAAAAAAAATATTTGAGAAACTTATTCTTTTACTACCATATAAATTCATTTATCATATTATAGATATTAATACTATATTACAATAAAGTTAACTTGATTGTGATAAAGAAATCTTTACAAAAACTTTGTTTGATCAAAATAGATACTTGGAAATTTTCTGAAAAAGTCTTCTTATCACCTGAGAGACTTAATTAAGAGATAGAAATACTATATTTTATACTCTTCACTTGTTTTTTGATATTATAACTATTTTTCTTAAGAACTTTCTTAGTTGGAAGATACCTTTTTCATAGACTTTTCTTTCTAATTACTAATAATATTATCAAAATATATAAATGTAATTAATAGAAACTTATTTATATTACATTGTAATAAAAATAGCATCTAATACCATTGAATGGTTATTTTTAGTCATGATCTTTATTCTATTTCTATTTTTATCTATTTATTTATAATTATTTCTTTAATATTCTTTGAT